TGAGATATGAAGCCAATGGGAAAAGAACAAAGCTGGGAGATAGTTAGGGCTGGTAGTTGATACTGATTTTGGAATCAACCACACTGAATAAGAGATTTTTGAGGAAGACTACAGGAGAGTACTCTGTGAGCCTTAAAAATGTACCATTGAGGAGCATCCTGAGGGTAGGACCTGACCTAAGAGGCCTCTGGCAGCCACTCTAGGCTTCTTTTGAGATAGGGTCTTGCTGTGTAGCCCTGGCTGACCTGGAGCTCACTATGTAGATCTGCCTAACCTCCAAATTGCCACAATTTTCCTGCCTCTGCCTCCAGAGTGCTGGGATTACAGACATGAAGCACCATGCCCAGCTCCTTCTGGAAGAAAGGAGTGACTGGAAGGAATCCCTGACTATCAGAGGTAGAAAGTCCTCCAAATGCTTTTGTCCCTCATTTGAGCATTATGTCCTGAAAAGAAGCCCTTACCATGCTCCATGAGCATATAACTCAGGAAAGGCCCCGTCCTTCCCCGTGGCAGGTCTTGCAGTGAGGCAACCATCCTGGGGCCCACAGCATCCATCCCCTCCAGCTTCAGCTTTTGGCCTTTGCATCCCGCCCTCTCTCATGCCAATTTCTGTGCAGCAGAGGGCTGGAGTGTATGTGTTGTAGGCTTCCAAGTCCTCCAGACATGGTTTTGAGGCTCCCTGCTCTTCTGCCTATAGGTCAAGGGCTGTGAACTCTCACTGCATAGCACTGATCACCTCTTTTGGGGAAGTAAAGAAATTCTTGCCACATGCTCAGACCAGCACTATGTCATTGAGCCTCCCATCCACTGAGTATAAGGCCTCCCAAAGAAAAGGAAGTTGGATCTCTATTCTGCTGGTGCAGGGCATGGATCAGGTTCACTCCAGGACCTCACAGCAACCTGGTATTTGGGGTATGAGGGTCAGTATTGATGGATCCTGTGGAAGTCATGGGAGTCATGACTGAAAAGAACATGGCCAGTGGTTTGTTCCTGAAAGGCATGGGGAAGAGTCACCTCTACTGTCACGGATACCATGCCAGCTGCCCACAGGCAAGAAGACATTGTGCTGTTGCATTGTACGCAGTGATGCTGTGTACATCACTGTTGCATTCAGTCACTGCTGCATATATTACTGTTGCATAGCCACTGCTGCATAAGTCACTGTTGCATAAGTCACTGCTGCATACAGTCACTGCCTTTGCCTCCCTAGGAACCCCAGGCTGTCCCTGGAGAAAGGTTTGGTCCTAACTGAGTTGCCCTGCTCCCCTGCCCCCAGTGCCTCTTTCCAACTCCTGGAGAAAGAGGAGGAGAGCATGGAGAGGCTGTGAGGACCACGTCAGTCCCAGACATATGCGAACTCATCTGCGCAGAGCTGTGGTTGAGAGCCATGGTTCTGAAGCCAGCATGTCTGGGTTTCAATCTGATTCTGTCACTGTATTTGGTACACAACTGACTTTCTCATTAGAATGGTAGGAATGTTGGTGTCATTCACTGTTGGGAAGGTTCAAGAAGTTACTGTGTGCCAGGTATGGTGGCACAGCACAAGGGAGGCAGAGGCAGGCGGATCTCTGTGAGTTCCAGGCCAGCGTGGTCTACATAGTGAGTTCCAGGACAGCTGGGGCTACAGGGAGACCCTGTCTCAAAAACACAAAAAAAGAAAAAATAAAAGTCACTGTGCAAACACTGGGAAGGTAGTCTGGCATACAGCAGGTACTCCACCAATGTAACTATCGAGAGACCTCATTCTCACAGCCCTCACATTTTTTACTCTGAACCTGGGTTGCATACACAGAAGAATCACAGAAGAATGTGGAAAAGACCATCTGACCAGGGACATGATGAGAGAACTAAGTGTGGACAAAGAAAATGTCAGAAAGATAGACTAAAGGGATACAGAACCAATCCCTGTAGTTAAATGGGTGTTGGAACATCAATGGGGAGGATATTCATAAGGGAAACCCTCTCAGCTCGAGTTGAGGGCACAGCAGCAATGACAGGAACTGGAAAGCCAGTGGTCTTGGGAGGAAGGGAACTGCTGCTCAACTACAGCTAGCTTGTGACAAGTGAACATTTGGGCTATAGCGTCACAACTTTGGATTTTTCCAAAGGAACAGGAAATTCACTTCTTTATGTGAATTTTGTTTTAACATACTATCTTGCTATGTTGTCCAAGCTGTTCTCAAACTTCTGGACTCAAGAGATCATCCTTCCACAGCTTCCTAAATTGCTGAGACTACAGGCACACACCACTATACCTGGCTTTTATGTGCTGATTGTTAAATATAGCAATTAATGCAGTTAAAACAGAAAGGAAACAAGACCTGTGTGGGCCTGATTAACCTCTTCTCCAAGCCTCCAGCCAGCAGCTTTCCTGTTTCTCCAGTCTCAGGGCCAGGTCTGGCTTTTGCAGTCTGTTCAACAAATTGAGTACCTGTTATAGTCACTGTTGTGGGCCCTAGGGACACAGCAGTGAATACAGGAGACAAAGCCCTGACCAGGCAAAGCTGACAGGTAGCTGTCCCTACCTCTGGAGGGACAGGTAGGGATGGACAGCAAACTTTAAATCCCCCGTCACAGGCTGTGAGGAACAGAGCAGGTAAGAAGTCAACAAGCAAAGGCCCTGTGGGTGGGAGGAAGTAAAGACCAGGGGCAAGCAGGAGATAATGGCTGGAGCGAAGATGGACTAAGGAAGGTATTACTGGGGAGCCACAGGAGGTAGATCCTGGCCAAACCTCTTCTGAAGGCCACACTCTGAACTCTACCCTTTTGCAATTTCTGACATTTGCTTTGTCCACACTTAGCTCTCTCATCACATTCCTGGTCGGATGGTCTTTTCCACATTCTTCTGTGTATGCGACCACACACACACACACACACACACACACACACACACACTTACTGGGGAGCCACAGGAGGTAGATCCTGGCCAAACCTCTTCTGAAGGCCACACTCTGAACTCTACCCTTTTGCAATTTCTGACATTTGCTTTGTCCACACTTAGCTCTCTCATCACATTCCTGGTCGGATGGTCTTTTCCACATTCTTCTGTGTATGCGACCACACACACACACACACACACACACACACACACACACACACACACCCCAATACTTATGCACTTGCATTTTGAGACTGGGTCTCCCCTGTGTAGCTTAGGATGGCCTCAATTCATGGTGATCTTCTTGCCCTAGGCTCCTGAATACGGGCATCATACAGCTACTTACTTCCACACTTGGCTTGAAACGTATTTATTTGTAGTTTGGGACAGGGTCTTCTTGCCATGAAGTCCAGGTTGTATTGAACTCAAACTCTTTTTTTAAAAAAAATTTTTATTTTATGTGTATGAGTGTTTGCTGTATGTTTGTAGGTGCACCACTACATGCAGTGCCTTTGGAGGCCAGAAAAGGGCATTGGATCCCTTGGAACTGGAGTTACAGGTGGTTGTGAGCTGCCGTGTGGGCGCTGGAAACCGAACCCAGGTCCTCTGCAAGAGCAGCCATTAACTGCTAAGCCATCTCCCCAGCCCCACTCAAACTCTTTAGTCTCCTACCGCAGCCTCTGGATGGCTAGACAGGTTTTTGCTATTATTAAACTTTTTCAGTGTAGAAAGGTCAATTCTTGCTCAACTCAGGTCTCCCCCACCTATGTTCACTTAAAAATGTGGCCTTACACATTTTGCCTCACTTCTCAGGCCTTGGACGCCTTGCCTGTAAAATAGTGATGATACAGAGTCCTCTCTCACAGGATTTCGGTGAGGAGAAAATGGGATATATGCTGGAAAAACTGGGGAACCCAGGCACCTGGGCCCTGGGAGATCACAGTGTGCCTTGTGTGTTTTGAGGCAGGGTCAGTAGCACTGGCTAGCCTGGAATATGTAGACTAGGGTGGACTCAAACTTGCTGAGTCTCACCTTTGCCTCCCAAGTGCTGGGATGACAGTGGTGGGATGCAGCACCACTTCTGGCTTCCTTCGTTTTTGAAGGTTTGCCTTGCTACAAACTGTGTTCCTTACCCTGAGATGCTGGGAATGATGCTTACCCACCTTGGCCGGGGACCCCACCCCCACCCCCAGTGGCTTCTCTGTAGCCACCCACGGCTTTAGTTTCCTTTTCTAAGGAGACCTGCACAGGAAGAGGTCAAGGGAGTACAGGCTGGTCTTGCCTTAGTTGTTGGGAGCTATTAGTGTAAGCACAGCCATTTTGTACACTGAGCTGTGGCAGGCTTGCTTGTTTACTTTATGATCATTCACCTTGACTCAAGAGTTTGTGTGTTTTGCACACCAGTACCAAATTGTTCTGCCAAGTCAGGAGGAATGTGTTGATAATTTAGGGGAGATGATTAAATGGTGGAATTCACAAGTATTTGACAGTTCCTTGACCCTCAGATAAAGGTGGGAAAAAAGAGCTGTTGAAGCTAATTGAGCCAAGCAAACGGTGGCGATCTCTGATGTTCTGCTGTGTAAGAAGGCTGAGCTGAAATAAACCGGCTGCAGTCTCTACTGACAGTCCTCCCAAGGATCTTTCTCTGTCTCTCGTTTTTTCTTTCATCCTCACTCCCCCTTTCAGGTGCTGTTCATCTAAGGCCGGCTGGCACCGGCACTTGGACTTTTAGCCTCAACTCTTACTTAAGCCGCTTCCCGGCCTGCCCTGCCAACCTCTGCTCCCAACCCCTAGTACCCAGCCCAGGCATACCAGCCCATCTCAGGGTTAGTCCAAACGAAGGCAGGCCCCAGACACCGGCAAATCTGAGATCCGGATCTACTGGGCGGCTGGCCGGAGCCCTGGAAATGAAGCACGGTTAGAAACTCGGAGACCCTTGCTGACCTCTGGGCTCCCCCAGATGCTGGTCTCGCGGGCTCCCACTTGACACAGGGAGAGGGGCATCATCAGCCACCTCCTGGCCACCGTTCCTGCCCCCCTCCTTTTTTCCCAGGCTATGGAAGGCAAAGGGTTAAATCCCATAGAGCTGATGTTCTGACTCCAGGCTAGAGGGGCCCGGGAAGCTGGGGTCACTTCCTGCTCCGTCCCAGTCACCCTGAACTGGTCCCCGGGTCCTCAGCCTGGAATCACCCCTTGAGAAGGACCCTAGAGTTCCCGGCATCTAGCCCGCCCTCCCCCCAGGCAGGGCATTTAAGGGGTTAAGTCCCCTGGGGCTGGATTCTGCCTTCCGGCTTTTCCCAGACCCCAGAGCCGTGAGTTTGGGACACCTGGGTTCCTGGGGTGGCCTGTAGGCTCGGGACAGCCGCCGGGGAACAATAGGGCCAGGGAGGCGGCGGCAGGCCAGGCCGAGCTCCGCGCCCCGGGGAGCCTGCGGGGTTGGGGGAGGGGAGGGCGGGGGGCCGCGGCCGGAGGATTCTGGGAGCCGCGCGGGGGTCTGGCCGTGGGGGAGGGGAGGCGTGAGCATGCTGGGAAGAAGGCGTCCGGCGGGGCCGGGGGCGGCGCCGCCAGCCGCAGCTCGTCGGGAGCCGGGCGCCCCCAGAGCTGGGAGTCGGGGTGCCCGCAGCGGGGGTCCCCATGTTGAAGCCCGGAGCAGAGGCGCGCTCGGGCGAGGGGCGCGGGGGCCCGGGTCCGAGGTTGTTTGCGAGCGGCTCGCAGGCAGGTCCGGCTGCCTGCTGCTCAGGGTCACCCCGGGCCCTCTCCTCCGTCCTCAGGGGGCTGCCCTGAAGACCAAGGCCGGCGTCCTTGGGCCTGGGCTGGTGCCCAGCAGTTCTCGTCTCCCCTCAATCTTTCTTACTTCTAGATGCTTGTGGCCTTGCCATTAACCCTTTCTGGTCTACCCCGAGACCCTAAGTTTGTCCTCAGTAAGCACAGCGGGACACTTTTAAAACCTCCCGAGGCGCCTCCAGTTGCCAGACAGAGATCCCCAAGCTCCTTCTCCCCCAAGACACAGGTGGGTGGAAGGGGATTCCGAAAGCCATCTTGTGTGTCTCTCACTGCTCTTTGGCAGTGGTCAGCTGTCTCTTCACCTGCCTTATCTCTCTGCTGCCTCTTCATGAGCCTTGTCCTCTTTGTCACTGTGCACACAGAACCTATCTACTTTGTCACCCAAAGTCTGGGTGCTCCCAAGGATTCTTTTAAAGTTGTGGATGTTATGAGAGCCCTGGCAGTTTGCTCCTGTGGTCCTGTTCCCTCAACTGGGAATCAGCTGAAGGACAGCTGAATGATTCCCCGAGAGGCTCACTCTGAACTTGGGTTCTTTTCTGACATCCCTTTGCAAATTGATCTTTAAAGGTGTTGAACCAAACAGGTTTTCCAGGAGCAAGGGGTGTCTAGCTCATTCAATCATCCAACAAAATATTTACTGGACACCTTTGCTAGGCATGTGATGATAAAGCATCAGTGAAACTGGACAAAGAGCAAAAGGAAGAGTCCCAAGATGAGACTGGAAATGTACAGTTTTGGGGACTCCATTACATAGAGTTCAGAGGCACAGATTGTCAGGCCTAGTCACTGGGTCCAGGTCCTCCTTTTATAGCCAAGGAATTTCTCTTCCCAGGAATTTTTTTCTAGCCCAGTCTACAGTCAGCAGGCTCTGTCTGAGCTTTCCTCCTCAGCAGTCTCCTGCCAGAGCCCACAAATATGAGTCTCACATGACTGCCAAGGTCACTTGGTCCTTTTAGACCCAGGGGCAAGCCAAACACAGAACACTGCATTTGTGGTCTTAACTCTGCCACTTCCTACTTGGAGAACTCTCCTCCAGTATTTACTAATCTGTGAAATGGACAACTTGAGTCCTGAATCTCCCAAGGAAGAGAAATGACGCCTAGCAGGCACCATGTCCTCCCCTGGGAGTTTTCTCCAAATTCATTCTCTCTCTCTCTCTCTCTCTCTCTCTCTCTCTCTAGTTATTGATTGGGAATAATTCTTCAGCTAGTGTTGTATATATATTGTTTGAGACACGAGCTCATGTAACTGAGAATTCCTGATCCTTCTACCTCCACCTCCCAAGTGCTGGGAGTACAGGTATGCTACCATGGCAAGCTTCCTGATTCCTGTTTCCCTCTCTAGAGTCTACTATTTGAGCCCCTGCCCTTAAATCTCCCCTCCCCCACCTCTATGCTGACCCTCATTCTAAGCTTGGATAATGGCAAAATGCCCTAGTCCTTTTGAAAGTCTCTTGTCCCCTCTGGGAAATTCTTTTCTTTTCATTCTTTTCTCTCTCTCTTCTTTCCCCTTTAAATGTGAGTCTCAGTTCTCTCTGGAGCTCATAAGGGAAAAGTTTATTGGTCTCAATTAGCAGCCCCATAAAGGAGGAAAATTGGAGTCCTAATGAGCTTCCTCTGATTTGCAAAGTAACACGTTTCCAGGCCGTTTCCAAGCCTCTGGGCGTCAGACTGTGGGGTGTGCACCTCCCTCTCCTGTGAATGTTGGATAGCTCTCCAGTTCCCAGTCTGGGTACAAAGGGTTATGACTGATGAGTTTTTAATTGGGCTCTTTAAATTCAGAGTTGCTTCACTGTGATCTTGAGATCTGGTCAGGGAATCAGGCTTTTGGGGCCAAGTACCCCCCCCAACAGGATGACAGGACACTAAAGTTCACAGACGTAAAGGAGGAGTGAGTTTCTAGGAGAGCAAAGCAAAGCACAAAGCCAGCTTGTGTTATGTGCCCATCTCTCCCTACCAGGGTCCCTGGAACCTTTGAAGTCCTGAGCTCTGGGATGGAGCCGGAGACAGTGCTGTGGGGCCCAGATCTGCAGGGTCCTGAAGAGAGTCCCAACAATGCTCCCAGAGGTGAGGGGCAAAAGAAGGGACTGTGGTCCTGACAAGACAGTGGCCCCAGTACAGGGAGGGGCCCAGATTCGGGGGAAACACGGGAGGGAAGAGAGACCAGACCCCATGTTCTGAAAGAAGATGGGGCTGGAGACTCTTTCTGTCTGTAGGTACCGAGAGTGGAAATGAAGAGGAGAAGTCTCAGCAGGAAAGTTCTGGGGAGGAGATCATCTTGGGAGATCCAACCCAGAGTCCAGAATCCAAGGACCCAACAGAGATGCCCTTGGAGAGCCCCTCCCAGGATGCCTCAGCCCCCCAGGACCTCCCAACCCCACTGGGTCCCTCCAACCCTTTGGACCATCAGACACCTCTTGACCCATCAGCCCCTGAGGTAGTCCCTCCTCAGTCTGAGTGGACCAAAGCCTGTGAAACTAATTGGCAGTGGGGGACCCTCACCACCTGGAACAACACCCCAGTGGTCACTGCCAGTGAACCCAGCCTGCGGGATCTGGTGCAGGGTCGCCCTTCTGGGGCTGAGAAGCCATACATCTGCAACGAGTGCGGCAAGAGCTTCAGCCAGTGGTCCAAGCTGCTTCGGCATCAGCGCATCCACACCGGAGAGCGGCCCAACACGTGCTCGGAGTGTGGCAAGAGCTTCACGCAGAGCTCACACCTGGTGCAGCACCAGCGCACGCACACGGGGGAGAAGCCCTACAAGTGCCCTGACTGTGGCAAGTGCTTCAGCTGGAGCTCCAACCTGGTGCAACACCAGCGCACGCACACGGGCGAGAAGCCTTACAAGTGCACCGAGTGCGAGAAGGCCTTCACACAGAGCACTAACCTCATCAAGCACCAGAGGTCCCACACGGGCGAGAAGCCCTACAAGTGTGGCGAGTGCCGGCGCGCCTTCTACCGCAGCTCAGACCTCATCCAGCACCAAGCCACGCACACCGGTGAAAAGCCCTACAAGTGCCCCGAGTGCGGCAAGCGCTTTGGCCAGAACCACAACCTGCTCAAGCACCAGAAGATACACGCTGGGGAGAAGCCGTACCGCTGCACCGAGTGTGGTAAGAGCTTCATCCAGAGCTCAGAGCTGACGCAGCACCAGCGCACGCACACCGGTGAGAAGCCCTACGAGTGTCTGGAGTGTGGCAAGAGCTTTGGCCACAGCTCCACGCTCATCAAGCACCAGAGGACCCACCTACGCGAGGACCCCTTCAAGTGCCCAGTGTGTGGCAAGACCTTCACGCTGAGTGCCACGCTGCTGCGCCATCAGCGCACGCACACGGGCGAGCGGCCCTACAAGTGCCCCGAGTGTGGTAAGAGCTTCAGTGTCAGCTCCAACCTCATCAACCACCAGCGTATCCACCGTGGTGAGCGGCCCTACATCTGTGCGGACTGCGGCAAGAGCTTCATCATGAGCTCCACTCTCATCCGCCACCAGCGCATCCACACCGGCGAGAAGCCCTACAAATGCTCCGACTGCGGCAAGAGCTTCATCCGCAGCTCTCACCTCATCCAGCACCGCCGCACGCACACGGGCGAGAAGCCCTACAAGTGTCCCGAGTGTGGCAAGAGTTTCAGCCAGAGCTCCAACCTCATCACGCATGTCCGTACGCACATGGACGAGAACCTCTTTGTGTGCTCTGACTGCGGCAAGGCCTTCCTAGAGGCTCACGAGCTGGAGCAGCACCGTGTGATTCACGAGAGAGGCAAGACACCGGCCCGGAGAGCTCAGAGTGACAGCCTGCTGGGGCTTGGGGATCCTGCCCTACTGACCCCACCACCCGGAGCCAAACCCCACAAGTGTCTCGTCTGTGGCAAGGGCTTCAATGACGAGGGCATCTTCATGCAGCACCAGCGGATCCATATTGGAGAAAATCCCTACAAAAATGCAGACGGTCTCATAGCACACCCAGCTCCCAAAACTCCTCAGTTCCGCTCCCCAAGGCTCCCTTTTGGAGGCAATTCCTATCCAGGTGCTGCGGAGGGTAGAGCTGACCCCTCAGGACAGTCCCTTAAAGTGTCCGAGGGTCAGGAGGGCTTTAGCCAAAGGCTAGGTCCACGCTCCTCTAAGTCCTACATTTGTTCCCACTGTGGAGAAAGCTTCCTGGATCGCGCTGTGCTTCTCCAACATCAGCTCACCCACGGCAATGAAAAGCCCCTTCTCTTTCCAGAGAGTAGGACTGGCCTTGGGGAAGGGGCAGGACCTAGCCCCTTCCTAAGTGGAAAGCCCTTTAAATGCCCGGAATGCAAAAAAAGCTTTGGCCTCAGCTCTGAGCTGTTGCAGCACCAGAAAGTCCATGCAGGTGGGAAATCCCAGAAGAATCCAGACCTGGGGAGGAGATCCTCTGTCCTGTTGGAGCATCTTAGGAGCCCCCTGGGAGCCAGACCCTACAGCTGTTCTGATTGCGGGGCCTCCTTCCTTGACCGACCGACCCTTGTCCAGCACCAGGAAACCCACACTCAAGAAAAGACCCCCACTTCGGAGGGTGGTCCTTCAGAGTCATCCACCTTGCCCACAAACCAGGAAGGTGAGAGAGACGCCTCTACCATGGCAAAGAGCAGCAGCCACAGGGAAGGGGAAAGCCCTAAGACTTTCTTGGAGGAAAAGCCGTATTTGTGCCCTGAGTGTGGAGACAGCTTCACAGAAGTTGCAGCTCTTCTCCTCCACAGGAGCTGCCACCCAGGGGTCTCCCTGTGAAATAGGTCTGGAGACCCAGGACCTCTTCTGAGAAGATTCGGGGAAAGGAGGACAACCCCATCAGATTAGAGAGAAGTGAAGGGTAAAGACCCCTGGGGGAAAAATAGTGCTTTTTGCATCAGCGATGAGAAACCCTATAAAATTGTTGGTGGGAACCACTTATAAGGCAGTAGAGAAAAATCGTTGGGTTAGAAACCCTATGAATACGTAGGAAAAAAAAAAAGCCCTTTAAGTCTGTAGCAGAAAATTCCTGTAAACCATAGTGGATAAAAGCCCTATTAACTGTAGGAAGAGGTTCTAATATGTCTGTAGACAACCCCAATAAATTGCATCAAAATCCTTATCAGAACCCTGTAGGGCTAGGGAGGTACAGGGAGCACAGCACAGTACTGACTTGGGAGGGTGACCCTCCCCTACTCTTTTCAGGGTCCTCTCCCATGAAACTATGAGAGGGAGCCCCTCTCCCAGCAGCCTTGGACAATTAGAAGAAAGTGCTTTGCTCAGCTGGGAAGTAGTATGGGAACTGGGGTAGAACTGGAAAAAAGAAAAAAAAAAAAAAAAAAAAAAAAAAAAAAAAAAAAAAAAAAAGAGAAAAACAATGAGGTGCTTTCAAACCCACAGAGAAGACAGAAAAGTCCGTCTCACTGCATGGGGTCCTTTAGGGTTTAAGGCAATCTTAGGTGAGTTGTGTGTGTGAGGACAACAACCCTGGAGTCCTTTATCAGTAAGCGCCCCAAAGCGAACAAAAAGCAAAACTGTCAAGCTGTGTTAAAGGCTGGAGTTTGGGGTATGTACAAAACGTTCTGAGTGTAAGAATATTGAAAAAATATTGAGAAACCACCTTAAATATTAGGATAATTTCCATTTGTTTGGGGGGAAGCAACCCAAGGTGGAGAAGCTATATAGATGGAACCCAGCAAACTCCTGGCTGGTTTCTCCCCTTCCTGGGAGCTTGTTAAACTTCAAGTGCAAGCAGATCCCAGTTCAGACCACCATGGTTCTCCTGAGACAGGCAGGACTACCTTTCCCCAGCCCAGCTGGAGATGTCTACTCTGAGAGGCCTCCGGGATTGCACACGGCCTCTGCCACATTCTCAGGTCTCACAATCAGGTTTTACCTGAAATCTAACTGCCACAAATCTTGCTGCAGTGGCAGCCTATTTCCTCAAATTCTGTCCTCAGTGGAAAGAACTGCTCGCTGCTAGTCAACCTCCAAAGAATAATTTCCTTCAGAGATTCAATGCATGTATGTGGTTGTCCTCCCTAGACTTCTACAAGTCTCTGAGAGCCACTTGTGGGTTCTCTGTGGTGACTAGGGACAGCAAGACAACAGAATAGACAGCTCTGATTAACCAGCAACATGACTTTAAACCTCAGCCTTTCGTGTGAGTCAGCCTGCACACAGTAATGGGTATCCTGACATGGCACAGACTGGCACAGATGCCCTGAAGAGGCAATGGAAATTTGACCACCTTCCTCACCCCACCTGGAGGCCCCTGCAATGGGGGTGACCCAACATGATCTTTGCCTGGGGAAGGGACAGGTTCCATCCCCCGGCTCCTCTCTCCTTAGCCAGAAACCTTTGGAAGGAAATGAAAGGATAAGAAATGCTCCCCTACCAGGCCCACCTCTTCTCCTTGGATACCACATAGTACTATACTAGACACTTCATCAACCCAGACAAACCTGTTACATGACTGGGGCTGTGTGACAGGAGTAACAGTTGCCCTATAAAATGGTTGAAGAAAAGCTTCTTGAAACATCCACAACAAAGATTTCCCCCTTCCAACCCTGAAGACCCTTAAAAGATGGAGAGGACTCTCTTCAGCACTGGGTTGCAAAGAAAGTATCCCCCAATCCAGTACTAGCACCAGTGACACATTGTCCTGGAGTAGAACTGAGATACCAGGGAGGTGGCTCTTCAGGAGTCCTGTGCCCAGAAAGGGTAACCTGGATTCCTACAAAACTGTGGAAGAGGCCTCTAACTTCATTAACCTAAAAGTTTAGAAAGTAGAAACCCATCACCCTTCATCTATCCTGCCCCCAAAGGGATGACCTTCAAATTTTAAAGGTCCAAAATTTAGACCATTGTGGGAGAAAAATGCCAGGCCTGCTAAGAAAAGCAGGCCTTACACAATTATGGGGAGAGCCTTGCTAGCATCCAATAAAGCCCAAAGTGCCAGGTACAGGAACACTGTGGAGACTGGGAGGAGTTTGTAAACTAACAAGTGATGATAAAGGGGGAGCCCTATAAAACAAAGTAGATGACTCCAAGTTTAAGCTCATTTGTCCCTCTCTAAGATGGTAGCAGAAACAAAGTTTAGAGAGAAACCCCTTATAAAGCTAGAAGTGGATTCCCTCAGGCATAGGTCTAATAGGCTGTCACCAGAAGAGTGCTGGGGGGCGGGAGCTTTTGGGGCTCAGAGGCCAGTCGGGGGGGAGGTGGTCAGTGTAGTCACAGCTGACTATAGTTGAGGACTAGGATAGCACATACATAGTAGGATGCTTGCATGCTGTGGGGACAGGTGAGGGCTACAGCCTTGACTCCAGGACTGAATTAAATGTGGATAGCTGGTGGATTCTGGGGCTTCCTAATAGGAAAGGGCAGAGACGAGACCTCTGGGATTGACCTGTTCTCTTGGCCACCTCCCTCTTAGGGCCAGCTGCACCTTGGGGGACTCTGTTGGCGGGACCAGAGCTCTTCTGACTGGATCAGGAAAAAGTCCACCAGAACTGAGTCTGGAAAGCATAATACAGCCGACTCCATGCCTGGGTCCAGAGTGTTCAGAAATGCCCCTGGGGACGAGCCCAACAACCATGGCATAAGGAGTCATTGGTGCAAGTATAGGGAGGGGAGGAACCAATCTACACTTAGAAACTTGAAACCGATGTCAAATAGGAACTCCAAAAGAACTGGGTATGACTCCTGAATAGGGGAATGTGAAACCATCATGACCAAGAAGTGGGGTTCTTTGATGCCCCCCCAATCTGAAGTGAGAGGCTCTGACTCCCTTTGCCCCTACAAAAGAAGTCTCGCTCACCTGATTTGTTCCTGTGGAGTGACGGGAAGCCCTACTTTTGAGTGTTGTGTGTTAATAACAGTGTTGTGTCACTGGTGGTCATGTTGATTAGTTGAAGAGAATAAAGGGAATAAGACTTCCCAGGTGTGCATTTGTTTAAATCTGGTTCAGCCAACAGCAAGCTCAAGAGAACTTGCCTTCTCCCAGAGCCAGTGTCCATGAGAACCCCAAAAGCTCAGTACAGTTCCCGAGTCACCTTTTTCCCAAGGGCTCTATGCTCCCTGACCAATGTTTGTGGAAGGTTGAGGAGGTTATGGGATTTTAAAATCCATACCCTTGTGAGAGACAACCAAGAATCAGGTAAACTCACTGTTGGGTGGCTGCCTGGAGGCTCTGGCACTGGCCAGCTTTACAGCCTCCTCAGTGCCACAGGACAATCTCTAGTTTCCCTTGAGTCTTGAGCCCAGTTCAACTTCTCCTCTGACCAGTCCTCCTTGAGGAGAGGTGGGTGGAGCCCTGGCTTATCATCCAGGATGCTAGCCCTTACTTAGGTCACCACCATGGGACAGGCTGAGGCTCTGGGAGGTGCAGCCACTTACTCAAGATCTCTAAGGAAGTCATTGAGGGAAAGCCAGAACGGCCTGGAGGTCTGCAGACAGGCTCCACACAAGTTTTTTTCCTTATGGCTGGTGCTGCTGGGGCCTGCTTGGGCTCCTTTCTAAGCTGGTTAGGACTACTACAAGGAATACTCAATGCCAGGCTGACTTCAGCACTGTCTCTCAAGTCTGGCCATGGGCCCTAAGTGAATACCTGAGGTCAACACTTGTCCATAGCCTGTCTCTGCCCATCAAGGACTCTTGCCTAAGGAAGGAAGGTGTATCCCCAATATTTCCTGTGCCTCTTAACAGATACCAGAGCAGTCTCTTTCTGCACCTGGAATTGGAGATAAGGTGGGATTTACCTTTCATGTCCCTGGGGATACATGAGGTTTATCAAGACTAGTCTCAGTGCTAGAGGTATCTTCAGTAGGATGAGTCACTCCAGAAAGAGAACAGGTACCAGAGGACAGTCATTCAGAGGCTTAGTGGACTGGATGACACTGGAGGAAATGACCTAAGGGTTGGTAAGGAACAGGGGATCCTCTGTATGGAGGCCAGGACTGGGGCTGCAATAGACAGGTCAAACAGTTGAGGATAGGCTTAGAGCAGAGGGGACTAGTGGAGGTACAGCTACAGAAAAGCAGCCAAAGTGGCCACCTTTGAGAAGCCTCAAGAGGAGTTGGCGTCATGGGAGGTGAGAGTGACATGGTTCCTCACGTCTCATTTCCCAGGTATGAAACTTGGTAAAGAACTGCAGGAGTTGGGTTTTAGCAGCTTAGATGTTATCATGGCCCTGGATAAAAACACATAGAAAGGAGTCTGGTTAAGGGTGAAAGAGCCTCAGAGGATCAGAAGACATTCAGCATGAGGATAACCAGATGAGTATACCCCAAAGACCTGGGGAAGTTTGGGGAGTTGTCCCTGTCACATGCTCTACTAGCTAAGCAGAGGCAGTTGCTGTAGCTGGTGCTGATAGGGATCATGTCCACCAATGAAGCCATCTGTGCATCAGTAAGAGGATAGCCAAGGTCATAGTTGACCAGAGATGAGCTGAGCTCCGACACCTGTGCAGGCCCTGGGCACCACAGCTATTTGAAACCTATGGAGGCTATTGGGGGCAGTAAAGGATCACAACTGGGTCAAGAGACCGGACTAGCCATTATGGACAGATCCTGAACCAGTGGGACAAACTGACAGTTAACCAAGGTTTATTGTTTCCATTGTTGCTGACAAGGCTGCAATAATTAGTCTAGGTACTGAGTTCCTGGGATCTTTACCCCCATTTTTTTGGCTTGAGGTGTGAAGACCCACACAGAACTTCAGGTTCCTCTCACTCATATGGGGGAGGGAGTTGCCTCTAGGGACTCTATCTAGGGAAGTGATGTGGAGTTATTTGCATTTACTTAAGGAGTCCATGTGGTGATGACGCCAAAAAGATCGTGCTGATTGACTAGCGCCGCTGCACAAGCCTCTCAGGCACTGGTTCTCTTCACTGGCTCAGGTAGCAGCATCGTCTCTATAACGCAATACCCTGCGTTTTCCCCACCCTTTCCACCTCAACACTGCAAGCCAAGCTGCAGTCATTTTCTCAGTGGTCCCATGTCATCCCCCACTGCAACCTGCGCTTCTGGGAGCGTCCCCATCGCTGCCAACTCCACACCTGAGGCCACCATCACCTGCATCTGTCTCAAGTCCAACTTGGTTCAGCCACTGCGGCTCCCCCCCGAAACTAGGTGGGGTCAGAAAGCAGCAAGGGCCCAGAGTTACCACTCACGCAGGACGCTAAAAAAAAGCCCTGGGGCCTTTTGAAGGCTCGCAGCTGCCAAGTCTGAGGCCACCACCATGGCCATGAATACCACACCAACACCCACGCTCGGCACAGGCCTCGGTGCCAGTCCCAGCGTGGCCTGGGTGAAGGCTCCATCCGAAGAGCCTACAGCACGCTGAATCCGCAAAGCTCCGCAAAGCTCCACAAGCTCCCGAGAGGCTGGCGGCCCAAGCAGGCTGGAATTAAATGTCACCCCGCTGAGGCGTCCTGGTCTGTGTGCCCATGAGATAGGCGTGGCCAAGGCCGATAAGTAACACACTGAGACTGGGTTCACTCCTGTCTTTGGTTGGAGCAATAGGAAAACTTTCTCGTCCTGGGCGATAGGGGACAACTCCAAGAATGCAACCCAAAGGTTTCTGTTATCCAAACGATCAATAACTGAGGAGGGGCATGGCGAACTTCTGCTCACAAGGCCTGGGGTGAGCCAACTAGGCACTATTTCCAGATGGGCTAGGCTCAGCTTTCCAAAGTCCAGCCAGGGCCCTGACAGTCAGGTCCTTGTATAACAGCTGTTGTGGAGGGCTGGAGCAGGGTCTCAAAGTTAGGCAGCCCCCTACTCCAGATTCACAACAACCCAAGGGACTGCTAGGTACTAGGTACAGCACTTAAAAACTACAGACTTAGGTTTGGACCAAGTGGACTGGTTGCTCTGTAGGCCTAGGGTTGGTTGTTTATTCTTAACAATTAACGGCCCATTCAAGACATCCCTAGAGCAGAGGCTGTCAGTTCAAGCTGATCCAGACAACTGTCATAGTTCTATCTCTCAGCCCCACTGGATGCTGCCTTTATTGCTCATGGGAGTTTGGGCAGATACTGCAGGATCTGGATACAGATGCCATGGGGTATCGGGCAACCCTCTTTGACCTGGAATGACTGGAAGTTGGTCCAGCAGCCGGTGCTGGGCTGTCCCCTCTTGGCAAGTTGTACTTCTACAGCAGTTTCAGACCAACAGGATGAAAGAGGGCAAGGACAAGGGCCAGGAACCCAAAGGAACCTGAGGACGAATGAGGTGGGGCAAAGTGACCTTGGGAGAGAAGTAGAGATTGGGAAGAGCCTGGTTACAAGAGAAATTGATGACCTTGGTTCAGCATTTGAGAGGTGGGCAGTGAGCACAATAAAGGCAGAGTTTCCCTGAATGGGGAAGATACTCCAGAGTGCACCTTCAGCTCGTACTACAAGAGGCATACCAGAGCTCAAGGGAACTCCTTAAGAAGGCTGAAGCCCTGTCCAGGCCTGGGGCAAGTGGATAAAGAAAGGCTCTCTAGGCCCAGGACCCAGTGACAAGCAAGGGATCACTGGTCTTCACTGTGGGTGTATAGACAGGTAAGTGAGCCTTTTCTTGGTGGAGAAATTCCCCTTTATGGGTAGGATGGGTCTGTCTTCCCAGTTGGAGCAGGGTTAGGGTTAGCTTCCAAGGCTACAGCTGGATGCTTTGGACTTGGGAGAGCCCCCTAGGATGCAGATCTAACCATCAGGAAAAAATGGAACTCAGACTGGTTAATCCTACCTCATCAGCATGCACCAACAGCCCCAAACTAAGTACACAGGGGCTGGGCTCATGGAGTTTGGAGCCACTGCACCTGGAATAGGGGGAGCTGAGGGCACAGCCCCTAGGGTAAAAGGGTGTTCCAAAGTCCCCTGAGATTTAGGTTCAGCTAATGTACACACGGTGGAAGTCATGGGCACCAAAGGCTGCATTGCACTTGGGGCACTTCCTCTGGCGGGCCTCATAGCGGCCCCGCACACACTCAAAGCAGAAAACGTGGAAGCACTTGGTAAGTACTGCATCCTTCTTGCGGGTGTTACAGCAGGGGCAGGTCAACCGCGCCTGGACAAAAACAAAAACAACAACTCTGGAACAACTCTTAACAGTGCCCAGACCACAAGACAGCAAGAGGTCCAGGCTAAATCCATCACATGGTAGACACTTCTAATCCTGACCATAACTTTTGAAGGTGGGAACCAGTACTCCACGAATGAGGAAAAGGTTCAGAGGCTAAGGTCTCAAAATTACAAAGTACCCAGGAATGGTGGCTCACACCTATAATCCCAGCATGTGGGAGGCCAAGGCAGGAGTAGTGCCATAGTTCAAAGTAGGTCTGGGAGACCTGAGTCCTAGGTCAGCCTGGGCCACATAGTAAGATCCTGTGTCAAAAAACAAACCAAAAAGACCCCCAAACAAACAAAAACCCTCCAACCCCCCCACCATCAAAACAAAACAGACAAAAAAACCTAGAGTAGCAAAGTCTGGATTCTCCTGAGGAGAAGGATCATAAGCCCGGCCTGGACTCTTCCACCTCTTGTCTTACTGGCTTTCTCTGGCAAAATCCCAATCTAGTCTGTCTTCTCTTGCACCTAAGTCACAGCTGGACATGGTAGTGCAATGAGAAACATGCTACCCCACCCTCAACTGGACCTACCCATGGGGCCTTCTCTAACCCTTCCCATCTGCCACAAGGAGGGTCTCCTCTTCAGCTCATCAGTTATTACCTTGACTTAGCACTACATGGTGTTTCTCTGGCCTGCCTCAAATCCCAACAACCTCCCTAGATCACTTTTCCCCAGTCCCCTAGGACTCTGCCATTAGCACTGGACGACTTCCTAAGCCTGTCTCCTCTTTAGCCCATGTCTGCCCTTTGAAAGTCCAATGGCTGCAAAGAGTAATCTCATTACTGATTCAGTGCCATGTTCTTCCTCACTGCAGTGGTTCAGAGTACAAGTGATCTGCTCTCTATCTTTGTTCCATCCAGGAACCTGTTCCCAAGTTCACCAAGTCCCAGGAGCATCCCTCCTGGTTTGGTTCATTTGCCTTGTTCACCCATTCCCGCCCTCCTCACCTCAGGCTTCACTTTTTCTGCCTATCACTTAAACTCTGAGATTCCTAAGAGGAGAATAATGTCCCTTTTCCTTCTCATGGCAAACCTCAATGGGTAACCAAAGTCACATGTGGCTTCCAACTCTGCTCCTGCTGACATATTCAACCCTTGCTCTCTATTTTTTGTTTTTGTTTTTTTTGAGACAGGGTGTCCCTGTAGCCCCAGCCAGCTGGCCTGGAACTATGTAGACCTGGCTGCCGTTGAACTCACAGAGATCTGCCTGCCTCTGCCTCCTGAGTGCTGGAATTAAAGGTGTGCGCTACCATGCCCGGCAGTAGCTCAGCTCTTTGCTTCAAGTGTTTTCCCAGCCTCTTAACAGGTCCAGAGATATCTTGTCCTCAACATCCTACTATTCATCACATCTTGTTCATAATCAGTAAAGGGACTTGCCATTCATCTAGTTTCTCAATCTAGGAACCCAGGAGTCCTCCCTAATGCCCCTCTTCCCTCATTCTAGCCACCTGATCCACCTTGAGTTCAGCAAATCCATCTCCTAAATATCTTCCTGAGCTCATTTACTACATCTGGTACCTTTGGCTTAGATTAAGTATTTCTACCTCAGTGACTACATTGGTCTAACAACTTCCCTGCAGTAGCCTTCTTCCAACCCCAATCCAGTCCTGCATCTAACCACTATCTTGGACAAAAACTCTTATGGAGCCGGGCGTGGTGCTGTGCACCTTTAATCCCAGCCCTTGGGAGGCTGTGACTAGAGACCCTGTTAAAATAACAACCAACAAAAACAAAACAAAACAAAACAACCAAAAACAAAACCAAAAAACTCTTAGAGCTGAGGATGCAGCTCAGAGGTAAAGTACATACTTAGCATGTATAAGGCTCCAGTCCAACCTCCAACAACCATCTGCTCCCCTACGCCCCACAACTCACCAAATAAAACAGTCTGTACCCTGCTTACAAGCTGCCAACCTGGTCCACATCCTTCAGGATCTACTGCTGCCCAATCAACCACCTTCACCTCCAATCAAAAATTGGTCTCTCAACTTGAGGCCTCCTGATCTGCTTTTCCTTTTATATAAACTCATCCCTATTCCTCTCAGCCAATTCTGACTCTGGCTTTGGGTTTCCCTTTGGTGACATTCCTTCCTAGAAGCCTGATGCTGGAACCTTCTATACTCTGGAGGCTTCCCTTGAGTTCCCATCATATCTGTGGCCTCTGCTATCACCTTTCTTACCTAAGCCCTCCCACCCCACACCTGGTTAAGCACTGTGCCTGCCACATAGCATACATCGAACGAATACTTGGCCACCTGTCTGACTCCACAGTGTTTTCTGTGGTTCTGCCTTACTTCCAGGATCCCCAGACTATCCACCCCACTCTCACCAGCCCGTTAGTACAGTTTCTGGGTTGACAGGACACAAGACAGCCCACAATCCCACCTTGTACTCCTTGATCTCTTCTTGCAGGATCTCGTCTGCATCTGCATAAACCTCCACCTTCCTCTGTTTTTCCAGTTTGCGTCGCAGCCGAGAAATGTCCTCCTGGAACAGCAGAGGCTAGGCTAAGGGTGAAGGGCCTTACCCTGGAACTGTGTGCCTCCCATCACGTTAGTAACCCTGGCCCACCAGCCTCACTAGGCAACACACCTGAGCCCTCTTGAGGTTGAAGCTCTCCTTCTCCCGAGCAGCCCGGCTCTCTGCCAGGCATGGCTGGATCTCTCGAAGCCGAGTCTGTACATGTTCCAGCTGTACCTTCAGGTCCTCTGCCAGCTGGGCTGCTTCTACAGCCTGCAATGGGTAGAGCAGGAAGGAGAGGACATGTGGCCAACACAGTGCACTGATTTGTTAAACATCCTGGCGACATCTGTACTGGAGATGGTCCTTGAGACCCTCAGCCTCACCTCTTCCTTACCTGTCATAGTATTCCCTCTGGTCTTTGAGCCTCCACCAGGTATTTCTTGTCCCCAACTCCTCTAACATGCACAGTCCCTTGGAACTCAGCTCTAACATCACCTCACCAAGGGGGGGCCCCATTATTACTCTTTCACACAGCTTTAGTTTCCTTCATAAAACTAAACCAGGTATAATGGCATATATTTGTAATTCCAGCACTTGGGAAGCTGCTGAGGGCAGGACCACTGACAGCTTTAGGCCAGCCCAGGCTATAATGAAAACTTGTCTCAAAAAGAAAAAGAATGATTTTTTTTTTCTTTACTTTTCTTTTTGAGACCAGGACAGAGGTCCACCTGCCTCTGCTTCTCAAATGCTAGGATTAAAGGTGTGCACCACAACACCCGGCAGAATGGGATTATATGTCATCTGTAACAGCATCATTTTATTTTGGGATTACTGGCCAGGAGGCCAGTACACCCTACAACAGCAGTTGTCAGCAAAAACCCTAGCATGTAGTAGGGGCATAAAAATACTGTTTAAGGGGCTGGAGAGGTGGCTCAGCTGTTAAGAGCACTGACTGCTCTTGCAGAGGACCTGGGTTCGATTCCCAACACCCACATGTGGCTACCAACTGTCCTTAACTCCAGTTCCAGGGGAATCTGAAGCCCTCTTCTGACCTCCACGGCACTGCATGACATGGGTGCACTCACAAACATGCAGGCAATACACTCATACACATAAAAATAGATAAATAAATAAAATATTAAAAAAAAAGTTTAGGAGCTTGAGAGATGGCTCAGGGTTAAGAGCACTGACTGCTCTTGCAGAGGACTCGAGCCATGTGGGGCTTTATTCCCAGCACCCACATGGCAACTACAAACTGTCCTTAACTCCAGTTCCAGGGAAATATGAAGCCCTCTTCTGATCTCTGCAGCATTGCACAACATGGGTACACTCACATATATCCAGGCAATATACTCATATACATAAAATAAAAATAATAAATAGGCCGGGCGTGGTGACGCATGCCTTTAATCCCAGCACTTGGGAAGCAGAGGCAGGAGGATCTCTATGAGTTCAAGGCCAGCCTGGTCTACATAGTGAGTCCTAGGACAGCTGGGGCTACAGGGAGACCCTGTCTCAAAAAGTCCAAATAAATAAATAAATAAATAAATAAATAAATAAAATCTTTCAAAAAATGTTTTAAAAAAAATACTGTTCAAGTGAATGAATTAACCATAGAAGAAAATACCCCATTTGGGAAAATAAGATGAAAAGTCAGTGTTTACCCCCATCCCTGCCCAGGCAGAGTTTCACATATACCTTAGCCCAGGCTGGCCTCAAATTCACTATGTAGCCAAGGGTGACCTTGAACTTCCCGATTCTCCTAATCTCTACCTTGAAACTAATGGGATTACAGGCGCCACCATGTGCAGTTTATATGGTGCTGGGGATCAAATCCAGGGCCTCGTGTATGCTATGCAAGCACTCCACCAACTCAGTTACATCAGCAGCCCATATTTTATGAGTGTATTGCCTGGATGTATGTAAGTGCACCCGTGTTGTGCAATGCCCACAGAGGTCAGAAGAGGGTGTGAAGTCCCCTGGAACTGGAGTTATAGATGGTTGTTAGCTGCCATGTGGGTGCTGGGAATCGAACCTGGGTCCTCCAGAAGAGCAGCCAGCGTGCTTAACTGCTGAGCCAACTCTCCAGCCCTGTATTTCTTATATTTAATAATACTACCTGGTAAATGGTAGGCATGCTTTTAATTTCACCACTTAGGAGACTGAGGCAAGAGGATCAAGAGTTCAACTCCAGTATAGTCCACACAGTGAGAAAATAAAAAGCAAGCAACAACTATGCGGCAGACCACTATTCCTAGTTGGCAGTTAATCAATGTTCTTTAAATTACTTTATTTACTGTGTGTGTGTATGTGTGTACATGCCCCTGCCATAGCATACCTGTGGAAGTCAGAGGACAACTTACAAAAGTTGTTTCTCTCTTCCTATCACGTGGGTCCCAAGGATTGAGCTCAGGTCACCAGGCTTGGAGACAAGTGCCTTTACTCACTGAACCACCTTGCCAGCCACAAGGAATTATTTTGACGTAGTGCCCTGGTGCCAAGAAGACATGGATCCAAATCCCAGCTCTACTTTAAGCCAGTTGACATCCCTATGCTCCAGTTTCCTCGATTCTAAAACAGGGAAAACAAAGCTATCTTGGTAGATTACTGTGAGTTTAAAAAACCAAAGACGCTGGACAGACGGTTCAATGGGTAAAGGGCTTGCAGTGCAAGCATGAAGACTGAAATTCAATTCCCAGCATCCATGAAAAAAGCAGGGTATGGCAGTGTTTGTCTGTAACCCAGTACTGGGACAATAGAGACAGGCCTTCATACCTACCCTCACAGAAGAGCATACTCATATATATGTGTGCACATATGCATTTCAAGTTCTGAGCACAAGGACCAGCACATAGTAAACATAGATACTTATGAGCTATCCAGAAAGAAAGAAGCAGAGCCAAGCTCCACTAACTGCATCAAGCTCTTCAAGCAGAATCAGAGGGGAATACATGAGTCTTTATCACTCAAATTGCTATCCCGAAAGGTCCAGCCTTACCTTCCTCTTATTAAGCTCCAGGGCTTGGCTGCGCAGTGTCAACTCCTTCTCCACACCCCCAAGACTGCCTTGCAAAGCCCGCTCCTTTTCCTCCAGTTTCTGCACAGTCAGCAGTTGGGCGTCCACCTGGGGATGGAAGGCCTCAGTGCTAGGAGGGCAACCTCTTCAGCTTCATTCATCTTTCAAGCACCACTGGGGCTGTCATACCTGGGACTTGAGGCCAAGAACCTGCTCGCCCAACTCATCCTTCTCCTCTCGAAGCAGCTTATGAATCTGGTTGGCCTTGATACGCTCTGACATCAGCTTAAAGTTGGCATCATCCTTTTCCCGCAACTGCTGTAGCAGCCGCCCATTTTGTTCCTGCATGTCCTCAAAAGCCTGACCTGTCACATCCATCTCTGACAGCAGAGCCTCCTCCTCCTGCAAGTGGGTAGGACAAGATGGAAAGATGGTAGATGAACAAGATGGCTGCTGGGGAACCCCAGAGAAAAAGAACATGCCCCGCGATCATCAAAATATCACATTTGCTGGAGGTACTTGACAGAGGGCTAAGAGAATTCCAGCCTTCAAAGGCAAAGAGACCACAGGGAATTTCACCTGCTTGGTGGCACCTAATTTGCGTTGCAGGTGTTCAATTTGCTCCTCTGCCTGCCGAATACGCCGCAGAGCATCCTCGTCTGCAATCTTCTTGCTTTCCCTTCGATCTCTCTCCTCCAGCTCCCGGATGCGGCTTCGAAGTTCATCTACCTACACTCACAAGAGGGGGTCCTCAGACACTGGTCCACATAGAGAGATCACTACTAGTTGGTCCACATAGTAAGAAAAAAAAAAAAAAAAAAAAAAAAAAAAAAAAAAAAAAAAAAAAAAGGGGGGGAGTTATTTAAAAAATTAAAAAATTTTAATTGTT